TTGCAAACGTATGTTAGAAACAAATCATCTAAACGTGTGCTCGCTGAACCGTTTGTATCGTTTGTGTAAGAAAGAAATGCGCTCTTAGAGAGATATTCGTTATTTTCATAAAATAATGCGGGCACGTGTCAACGATTACACAACTACTCAGCCGTGAATTATACAATCAACAAAATTGATTGGATTATCCTTATTGCTTATGACTATAATGTTATGAGAACAGTGTTTTGAATAAAATAGAATTAATTATACATGTTCAACGATGTTTTTGAGTTGTTTCTGAATTGTTCCATGTTATTAATACTTTAAGGGTAGTGCGTTTTTGTGATTATGGAGAACAAAATATATGATAAATGATAGAAACAAAGAGGAAAACAGAGTCAAATTCATTTTCAAAATTTATTTTCACATTGAAATATACTATTCATTGATTCTATAAACCCCATCAAGACCCTCACAATGTTGATTCAGCTGATGCGTTCTGTATTTTGAGGTATGAGAGATAACTAGTACTGCGTGTGAGTCCTGGAAAATAATGCGGATTGGTCTGTTGTTTCAACAGATGAATTAATCAACAACATCCTGTCATTGTTTATTGAACCTGAATGACCACCTAGGGTATACATCGATATCTGTGACACGAGTGTAATCTTTTGAATAACTTATCAAATTGCACATCACTAAGTTTAAAATTACAATTAGCAGTACAATTCAACTAATTCAACATTTTGAAGTCTGATGATAACTCGACCTATCAGAATTAATAACTATAAGTCACCTTACGGCCTTCAACAATGAGTAAAGCACATACAACATAGTCATTATTTCATACAATATCTTAAACAGACAATTTGGATAAAAAAATACAAATCGGATTTCCTTCTGACATACTTGTTCTTCTTAAAGAAAAAATAGATTTAAAGAAATTATATTTGAAAATATTTCTGTTGGTTTTTTTAAGGATTTTTTTTTTACAAATACTTGGTTTTTTTTTCATTTTTACACGTGATAGATTGAGGTATAAAGTATTCAAATTATCTTGTATTACAAAAAATGATTATTTTCACATCATGAAAAAGCATATTTTCAAGGCATTCGTACGAAGCATAACCTTTTTAGCTCTAAATTAACATATACGGGATAATTTTCGTAAATAATGTGCTAAAAACTGTGGAACATTTAAAAAAAACAACATTTGTCTCCTTTATATATTTGAAAATGAAACTTCAAAGTTCGATAATGATATTTAAACTTCTTATACTTTGAGAAAAAAACAAATGTCGAACAATTACAAAAAAAATAAGTACGGTATGAAGCCTTTATAAACAGCTATCAAACTGGTTGAACACTAGTGGTTTTGAATAACCCCAAGGACGTCCCATGTTTTTTTTTCCAATTCAATCGTAATTCGTACTAAGTATGAAGCAGTAATAGAAAGTGGAAAAGCAAACACCAGGTTTTGATATTTTTTTCAGAATTTACTCATAAATTTTAATGAAACACGCATCTTTGTCGGAATTAAAATTAAAACAAAAAACTTATAAATATATCTATTCCTTTTGTCTTGGTATCTCTAAATATTACTTCCATGCTCTTACATAAACATTTAACAAGCTGACCACACTCTTAACTTATTAGTTGGCGCACATCAAAGTCGTGCACAAATGGCAAATATAACTTTGTCGAGAAAGAAATAAAAAATAAATAAAAATTATTTGTCCTTTTAATCATTGCAAATAAGAACAACATATTTAATTATAAATTATTAAGCATAAATCTTTTCGATACAATTGTTAATTACTTAAAATAAAAAGATTATGATTGTTTATTCAGTTGTTATGTTATATGGCACGTGTCAATCGGTTCACCGATTTTCGGCATGTCAAAGACAAATGGGCACGTGCTTAAACAATGCTTAATAACTCGTGTATTTGTGATTATTTTTCTATAAAATTTTTAACTTATGCATTAAATATCAATCTCTAACTTAATATGGAAAAATAATACATGTAACAGCACCCCATCTAGTCCTTAGTGGCATAGTATACGTCCTTAGTGCACTAAGGACTCCTTAACAGTGTTTAGACGTACCGCTTGATTAACGTCTCTATAGTATGCAAGAACATAAAATACCATATTGCAATTCTGACAAAAAGAAACATACTATACGAATAACAACAGCAACAAATAAAACAGATAACATAACAATTATCATAATGCATCAGTAGCAGGTAAACACTATTATAATGAGACTACAATAAATTGCTTTTTTCTTTTAAAAACATTGAAATATAGCTGTAAATCACATGCTGATATCATGTACCATAGATTACACATCTATGCATGTACTTAGTTTTGTTTCGTTTGGTTTTCTGCTGTTTTATATATCATGTATATCGGAATGAAATTATTTCTAAGTACAAATATTTTTTACATACAAATAGATAGTGAAGTTAACCTCCTTTAGTGTTTCTCTATAGAATGATGATTAATTCTGTTCTCTGATAGGAAATCCGACAAGTACACTGTTTCAATTAGAAACTAGTTATTTAAGAGTATGTTAATTGATATGATTAAAAATTGGAAAAACGATTTTCTTTCTCAAATCTTGTGGAGTCCCCTGGATATCTTAAACTTTCTCGTCTTTTAACAGAACATCAAAAGCATTTTCCTCGGACAATTGTATCATTCAAGTTGTTTAGTTCTTATAGAATAGCTATATATACCTTTGTAATAGCAAAAATGCGAATTTGTATAGAAAATTTTATTTTAGAAAAAAAATCAAAAACATTCGAAAAAAAAAAACCAATTTTTTATAACCCGATTAATTCACTCCTCGCCATATCGATATCTCCTACTTATGACGTACCCGTCATAGAGCACAGAAATATAAAGATTGAATTAGCAAATATGTGTCTTCATTTTTTTCTTCTTCAGTCAACGATTAGTAAGACACAAGACACAATTCAAGTTTCTTTTCCTAATTTTAAAAACAATTTTAAAGCATTCTGAATATTAATAAAGTAGATGTGAGATATTCAATGAAACAGCAATCAAGATATATTACAAATTTTCAACATTCTTCAATCATGATAAATAAAGCAGCCAAGATATTTGAGTGCACTCTTTTTTTTATTGATAAATTTTTTTGTGCTTAATTAAAGATTGTAAAGTGCCGATTTTTTTTCTGCATAATACTTTTGATATGTTCGCAATTAAAAAAAAAACCCTTTGCCTCAGTAATTTCAAGATTTTATAGTGTATTATGTCGCCATAAATACAAATTTTATTGTCAATTTAGCGGTATTTCTAACATTGCCTATAAGAGAGAGATTTGGCTTGCCATAAAACCAGGTTCAACCCACCATTGTTAAATTGAATTGGATTCACTGTAACTCCATTTACCGGTAAATTTCATTAATCTCTTTGACAAAAAAAAAAACACCTTTCTCCGACATGGATTTTTTACCTTTAAAAGCTAAAAAAATACCATAGAGCAAATTACATGGATGATTAATATTGACCATTTGGTATAGGCATATGTCCGTTTTCAAAGCGATACGTACATGCAGGACATACATTATTTTGTTGAATAAAATCAAATCTACAAATGGGTGCCGTAGGAGGACCACTGGAGTTTTGAGCAAGGATTTCTTGGCATGTAACAGATCGAAAACTCGGGGTTATGATATTTCATGTATATTTTGAACACATGGAGGGTTACCCCGGCATCCTTTGCAAAAAAAAAAAAAAATTCTTCTATGTGCCTTCGGACTTTATGTTTTGAATTGTAGTTCCACTTTCCATATTCGGTATTTATTCTGAGTCAAGTGCCTGTGCGGAGACTCCAAGCAGACAACACGCATGTGTATAACGGCATTGTAGATTTTCTTATAAAATAACGAGAGTTGCCGGTCCGGTACATGAATAGATCGGTTAGAAAGCTAGGTTTTAATTTTTAAATTAATTAGATTGGAAAGCTTAATTCGAGGGTTGAAAATAGAGAGCGCAAAAAAGGGGGTTGTGGGTGTTCCACAGGGAATATTTTTATTTTATAAACGCTACATTTGAAAGGTTTATATTTTTCTATTTAATCTTTAACTAGTAATGGATGCCGTAGGAGGTCCATCGGAGTTTTGAGCAAGGATTTCTTGGCATGACAAACAATTCCAGATGTTGGTCCGAGAAGCGTGAACACACCGACCTGACCAACATAGAATTTCCGCTGACCAATGTCCTAACTGAGTGAAAGATACAAACATTTTATAAACATAAAAAGAAAACTTTAAATGTTTAACATATAAGGATTATATATTATTTTCAAAGAAAACAAATATTTGAGAAAATATTTCCAAATTTGAGAAAAAAAACATCATATAGAAAACAAAACACAAAATGCATTTACAATCTCAAAATTTTAAGGGAGAAAAAAAAAATTGCAAAAATTTACCGGTATATTTTTAGGTTCGTTCGTTCGGGTTTTTAGTGTAACCTTCGTCAATACATGAATAAAGAACCCGTGTTTTAAAAGCCTAGGCTCTAAATGCACAAAAAATGTAAACAGTTGTGTTCAATTTTAATATATCTGCTTGTTATATCATTCCTTACCGTGGAAATTGTGTTGAAACTGTTTATTCGAGTATATTTGGGTATATTGGGGTAAAAAGTCACTTTGTGATCGTAAGCGGCTGACATGAACAGAACAAGTTACGAGGGAAAAAGTGATTTAAAATTAAATATATTCATAAAATAAAGTATTAATGTCGTTAAAATAACATTTAAATGCCTAGTGTAACATTGTTATTCAATCAAATTATGTTTAAACTGCTTTTTGAGGTATATTGGGGTATGTTGGGGTATATTGGGGTATATTGGGGTAAAAAGTCACGCCGGTAGTTTTGTACACATTAGATGCCCCCTCCATACACCGCTGATACACCTGCCTCAAATTAGAAATTAAAACAAAGCATGATCTGCAATGAAATATAAACACAAATGACCTGTGTATAGTCAGTGAGGGTGTCGAAACCAGGCAGAAACTCTTCATGCGTTTCAGTTTGTTTTTCTTCTGACATTTTGCACGTGTTCTGTTGTTATTTATTAGTTTCGAATATTTAAGAAAAAATGACTTCAAACAACTTTGATGAATACATTTCTAAAGAAAATGATTTTTTTCATTAAAACTAAACGATAAAGTTCATAAATATGTCATATGTTTTTTATTAGTATTTCTTTTACGAAATCAAATCAATGTCTAAAATACTCAACATATCGGTACAGATATGACCCGAATTACGTACCACCAAAAAGATCGTCTGACTGGGACGTTAAGTATAATAGTCTAAGCTGACACTGCGTGTAACTAACTATACGGAATTTTAAACAATGTACTCATTTGTCTTTTATTTTTGAACTGAAAAATCTAGCAGATTTCCTAAGTTGATGCACATGTGCATGGGCAAGTTCCCCCTTTTCCATATACATTTTTATTTTCAGTTGTGTTCCGTTATATCAGGGACAGTCGTTAGTATATTAAGTCCCTGGTTATATAGGTATATTTTGTATGTTTTGTTTTTTATTTGCCAGTCGCAAATAATTCGCCAGGTACACACCGCACGTTCAATCCAATTTTTACGGTCCCATAACTATTTCGAAATAGCTAGATGTGTCATTCAAGAACATGAAGAACAGAATGTCAGCAAAGAACGGAATATCACATTTTTTTCTATTTTTTTAATGATTGTGTCTTGCATTCTCATACGATATCACACCACAGGAATTTTTTTCGCTGCAATTTAGTTAAAGGTTTTCAGGTCCATAGTATCACGAGGGTGGTAAAGGGGGGTGCTTGCCATATCCAACTAAGTCAGACATCACGTGACTTTTGTGACGTATACTAGCCGCCATTTTGTATTATATTGCCCCATATAAAATGCATAGGTGCTTCAATAAAGTTTAGTTTTCTCATTAACCTGATCCGTTTTCTAACTTTTGCAAATCAATCCTTGATATTCAAACATATTTCTATCAAACAATGTTGGTCCAAACAGTTTAATTTTTGATTAAATTCTGTCACTGGAGAATCGTTAAAACATGTACTTTTTCTCGTTATTTCTCCGTTGACTCAATGCTAAATGTACCGATACCCATGTCTACTTGTATAACAAATAAAGAAATTCCGTTAATAAAAATAAAACTTTGCAAATCGGTTAAGTATATTCAAACATATATCTGGCGAAAAATACTATTTAAAACAGTTTAATTTCTGGGCAATTTCTGTCAAAAATCGATTTAAAAAAGTGAATATTTCGGGATTTTTCAAAATGGCGCGGATGATGTATATGGAAATGTTGCATCAAATCGAGGATTTGTATAGTAAGACTTTCCTTGATTAAATTTAATTTTTCATGTAGAATCTCTGATGTTTCTGTTATTTTCTTTGGTGACATTTCGATATGATTGATTTCAAAATTTCTTGATAAAAAAAATATTATTTTAAGTGTGACACGGGACCATTTTATTTTGACAGATATCCAGGATATACTGTTACCAGAAAATTGTTAACAATAAAATTTATAATAAAATTTTTTCTCTTCTTTTTTTAAAGGTTTTTTTCCTATTTTCTGTATAATTCATCTTTCTTTAGAAATATATTTATACTTTCCTTTTAGAACAAAAAAATATTTACGTCCCAAGAGAGAAAAAAATCCCAACAATTATTATAGATAAATATTCCATACCTTCAAAATCCCATCACTTGACGAACAGGTGAACTCTGACTTTGGATGTAATGTTGAACGTGAAATAATTTCTGTCATGAACATTGCACGAAAAATAAAGACTTTGATGTGAACCTTTTGTGACTGAGTCACTGTCTTCTTGTATATATAAACTCTCTGTTTTACTTGATATTCCCGATTTACTACATATTTATAATATAAATGGTTAACGGCTTTTAAAAAAGTATATAACGATCTTCTTAACTTTTAAAATGCAAATATCCCGCAGACACGAAAGTGTATTCTTGATCTATTTCATCAGTGTCCTTATTAACAAGAATAAACACGTTGTCATGTTATCCATGCCACCAGCTACCACGACTCGTGGTTAAAAGTATCAGAAATGGGAAGTTTGAACTGACAGATGATGGAAAGTACAAACACGTTAAAGCTCATCACTGTTAAGATGTTGATCCTATTTAAAGTCATTCTTTTCATTTTACCAAAAAATTCAAAGAATCGGCAGTGAGGAGGCATGTATCTAGGAGATCCGAAAAGTGTTCACAAGTTAAAAACAGATCAGATTTGAACTTAATATGAAGTCATTATGTAAAGTTGTTTCTTAGAAAAATCTAACGAAAATATTTGTTGGATTGACGAACAGAAGCACAAGTTGATTGTAATATATCCCTAATCCTACAGCTTTCCCTAGTAATTCATACCATGCAGGTCTCATTAGTCCTTTTATTTTTTTTTATGTTTTCTAACATTACAATCATGAACTAGAGACATACATGGCAATGCAGCAATCCATCAACATAGTCATACCATAGGACTATAGTAGCATATGGTACAACGATTTTGAACTTATCGCAAACTGAATCAAATCGAAAGAATACGACAAAAATAAATATGTATGGCCCGTTACAAATTTGTTTAGACAATAAAATGTCAGTGTGATGTAGTTACTTAATACTTAATGAACAATGGGTTAGGCCAAACCAGTACATACATCTTGGAAGCTCCAAAATCGATAAGGAACAACATCAAATGCCTTTCCGCTTTATCAAAAAACAAAATTGAATCCATTTTTTTCTTGACGATCCCTGCCAAGTGTTTGAATTTTATTTTAAAAATACCAAGCACGCAAAATAAGCTTTTGAAAATCACGATGCACGTAAAATTAAATAAGCAGAACACGTTGAACGAGGCACCTGTCTTGCACGACTGAACGTCAAATAAAAAAGTAAAAACACGTTGAACGTGGTTGAACGTGAAATAAAAAACGGCGATCACGTTGCACGAAAATAACCCTTTACCACCCTCTATCACGAGTCTAGTCTTTACTTACCGCTCTCTTCGGAAGCTTATTATTAATTTAGATAAGAGGAGTTGAAATTATGCTGAAAAGTAATAAAAGGCGACGTTGGCTAAATATGTATACGTCAATGCGACAGCAACCCAGTGACAGGAAATCACAAAAGACATAATCTTGATGTCAACATATACGATCTCTTTAACAACCAACCAGATCCATTCAATATTTAAAACTCAAAATCACCAAAGTCTAGTGACCAAAAATAAAAGATCCACCATAAACACCAAATACCGTTAAAATGTATAGCTAAAGAGCACTATCAATGGACGATGTTCCAATTTTGGGAACTTTAGGAATATGACGATGTGGTGCCATCGGATGTACCATGACGACACATACATGTATATCAACAAATTACAGAACATTGGGGTTAAGGAAACCAACAATTATACGAGTCTCAAATGCAAAATCCATGCAAACATTCAGACAACTAGCTTGTACTTGGCCGAATATGATAGAGAGTTGGACCAATAGTTAGGATGGCCGCCCGGGCTAACAATGTTGACAAACCTACCAGCCAAATGATAGAAATATAAAATTTCCTATACTTTCTGTGGCATTGCTATATAAAATCTTATGAGGTAAAGCCATCGACTTAAGACTGTTGGAAGTTTCAATTTCATATCAACAGGTATTTAAGTTATATAATCTTGCTTTCAATAAATGGAAACACGGTTTTATCATTATATTGTACACTATATGATTAATTAAGCGCTTTGATATTATTCAGCAAAAAGGGCACGTGATCTTAATTTGTGATATAAATATTACTTTCATTTAAATATAAATCGTCACTACAAATAATTAAAATATTAATCACACATGGAACCAACCGATCAATGCATTGTATATCAAAGTCGAGAAAAGGAAAATTAACAATAAGAAAGGAAAAGTCTTTCTTTTTGCTATATTTGGTTTTCACTGGTATCTAGCTATAAATCTACTAAAGGAATAATAAATCATGATCTTAGAGAGACAGCAAACACTTTATAAAGTTATGTTAAGCACAACATTGAGTCCCGGTAGATACATTGAATTGGTTTATATATAGAATTTTGGATTATTTAGAAAGAATATTATCTGCATCTATTGTTTCAAATCTGAGATAGAGTGGTACATTACATCAAAAAAATTGAAACGTGAGCTGAACGCAGTTTCAGTATTTTTCTAGACAATAATAATTATACTGAAATAAAATAGATGGACTAAACATTTTCAAGAAAATGAATCAGTTGCTTTCTTCTAAAAATTAAAAAGAAGAAGGAATTGATAAGGCTTTATAAAATGTGTGTAACTTTAATGAAATGTTTTTATCATTGATGGCTACCCATATCTGTTTTTATTCATCTTAATTATTTACTAGTACTTAATCTTTTTTTTGTACTCTAGACTTTCACATGTTGTATTTATGTCACGATACATCTTAATTAAATATTTTCATCTGCACAATTCATACAAAATTGTCATGTTGTTTGTCTTTGAATGTGTCAGTAAAAAGACGAAAGGAAAGTTTATCTCAATCTGATGTACTCTTGTACTTTGTGCATCTGTGTTTAGCTGGGTCAGGTTCATAGAGTCGAAATAAAGTAACAGTTATCCTGCATGTTATTTATATGATCAAATGATAGTTATCTTCATTTCCATAAACTTCCGTATGCATTTCATACAATTAGCTATAAAATGCCTCGCGACTTCAGCACTTTTCTTCACATGTCTGCATATGATGTTATACATGTTATGATGTATACAGTTCAGTCGGCAAATAAATGGACGTTACATCAACAAGTTGCAGAATATTAGGGTTCAGAATTTTAACAATTACATGTAGTCTCAAATACAGAATTCATGCAAACATTTAGACAACTTGTACTTTTACTATAACAAATAATTGGACATATAGTTTGGATACACAACCTAACAGTTTAGACAAATATACCAGCAAAATAAATAAATACAAACCAAAACATTGATATACTTTTATGGCGTTGCTATGTAA